CTGGAGAAAGTGTTAATTACCGCAGTAGTACGTCTCAAAACCTCTCGCACTTCTAAAAAGTCTTATCTCGAAATCTTTTCCTCCTGTTTCTGTACATCGGCTCTCTTTGACGTTTTTTTTCGTGAATCATCAATATTATTATTATTATTCTATAGAAACGCGAGGATCGTATTGTATCTCATGGAATTGTGAACGGTGTTCGAATTATATTGAAAGTCTGTACGGATTCTAGATTGTCGCAGTGCCTTTTGCGTTCCCTCGATCCACTGGAATTACTTAATAACCGCGAACGTTAGGAGTACCGATCGGTATCGGACCAGTGACCCTCCACAGCTTCCCGTTGGTCAAACGAATCATCCTCCACCGAATCGAATCGACGCCCTGATCTTTTCCGGTCTTTGTTCTTTCCCCTTTATTTCTTCTCATCGATAATCGCGTTTACTTCACGCTTTTTATCGGGTAATCAAGAAACGAGTAAACGGGAATTGATAACTTTCGTAAACGATTATGAATTTCATTAATTTGGACGCTTGTTATTTTTTTTTTTAATTTATTTTTAGAGTTGCATGAACCTCTTAAGGGCCATTAGCAACCATAATATTATACACATGAAATATAATTAAATCAATTTCATCAATTTAATGCTGTTCAAAAAGTTGATCAGGTTTTTGCACGAGTCTTGAGTCCAACTTAATTTCAAGATTCGGATTCATTATAATTTTCAATTATTTTATGACTAATAGGATGTGAATAATTTTCACTATTCAATGCAGACAAAACACTCATAGAGTCCATAAAAATTATGTATTTATTAACTGCATTTGAATTTGTTGAAATATTTCTTTTTATCAAAGAAAGCACGTTTTGCAAAGATGAAATTTTGCAAAATTCGTAGAATTCACGTGGACAGGAATTTTTAATAATATTTCAGTGAGATTAAAAACGAAGAATTTCTGTCTCTCCTCTGTAAATTAAAGGAATCTTAAAAGAGTTCCTTCGTCGTGGCTGGTTCGAACAGTCGTGCGGGGGAACGCGTCGCGTTTCTCTGGTTCTTAATAAATTTCGCGAGTGGGACGCACTTGGCTTCGCTGAGCCGTGCCGAGGTATCAAGATAATAATTAATTTCTCCTCGGAGTATTTTCCGCCGGAGTTCCTTCCTTTTATGTGGGTTAAGCGTAGATTTAATTATATTATATTAAAACTACCGTGTGTACCCTTCGGTATCGTCCAAGTAGTATTCCACGAATGGTAATTTAATACCCTCTTACAAAGGTATGAGAAATTATAATATTCGTTCATGCGCCGCGCCGACCGTTCTTCTACCCTCCACCGTGTCTCTCTTCCCTCTGTGTTCAGCTCTCTCTCTCTCTCTCTCGTCGTCGTCTAATTGCGTTTCGATGAAAACGCTGTGAAACGTTTTAATTTCCATGTAGCGAATAACAGACGAAGTAAATAGAATCGATCGACAAAGACGATTCGCATTTCCCGGGGTTTCAAAGGTTCTGCGATGTTCAAAACGGGCCGATGCGGTTTCTCTCGCGTATACGCGACGCGAGAATGACTGAAAGCTCAAAAGCGCGGATAAACGTGGGGGGATGCGACGTCGGAAAAGAAGAATTCGTTCGAGTTTTATTCGTAACGCGCGTCGGGGAGAACTACGAGAGAACGAGTCAATGTCGCCGAAGAGAGAGGATACCGCGGCGGGGGTGGCGGCGGCCGCGCGTGTACGTGTTTGTACGTGTTATAGCGTGCGGTACGGGCGACGTAGGGACAAGAGAGACGATATATAATGTTCCGCGATATTAAACGGGACGCATTCCACCGAGGCCACCCTCTGCTCCCTGCTATGAACGCTTCTACGACCCCCGTGTCTCCCGTCTCACCCTCTTCCACGCTGCTCCGTGCACACACGGCCGTTCACGGATACCCGTGAAACTCTGTTCATCCCCCTCTCCCCCCGCTCGGCCGTGGCACCTACCGGGACGGCTGGCCACCCCACGGGAGCTCGGCCGGAGTTGGCCTACTCGACCGACGCTACCCCCTCGAACGGTTATACGCCAAATTTACAGCTTAGCCAGAGCCACCACTACCCACGAACACGCCGTTTACTGCACCCCCCCCGGGGGCCGAGGACCGCCGGATACCACGGCTCTATGACGCGTTTGTTCGAGGATAAAGCTGCTCGAACGATTTACGAATGTCACCGGTTACCGGACCGCGCCGTTCGTACCCGTCCGTTGATTTTTCAATCCTTTCCACTGGCGACAAAATCACGGAAAATATACCACTCAGCGATCGTTCCTCGAAATTGAATTTGTTCAAATTGTACATGTACCATGAGTTATTAAGTATTGTAGATGTTACGTATTGAACGTGAACGTGCTGGATTGTAAGATTAGTGGGAATTGTTAAATAGTGAATAGTCGATCGACTGAATGTCTCTTAATCGCACGCGGTGTAAGTTTTCTCGAGCCGAGGAATTTAGTTATCTAAATTAGGTTTATAACACTCAGCATATTTATTGTTATAACCTTGGTTTTAACTTCAGTGGG